TGGTTCCATTCCACGCAACAACATCGTTGGCAAAAGATGGTAAACTCCAGAAGTACTTAGAATGGAAGTATACTTCAGCCCACACTTATGTTAGCGATAGGTCACATGGGATAATGGAGCTCTACAGCCTGCAGGATCGGTTTCACGAAAACATCCAACTGAATGGTGTGCTAAGACGCTTATCGATCGATCCTCATTCACGCCAACGTAAACAGCGAATCACATGAACTGCACCAAATTAATTCCTGAACATGATCAAAGCCACCCATGTCTTCATGAAACGACTTCTTGTAGATCTGCGAAATGAAAGAAAAACCAGCAAACCTGAATGGAGTAATAATATTAACTTTAAAGTTTAGTATTTTAATTTTGGGATAGGTAATAGAACCTCTACATGCGTCTTGGACCTTTGGTTAGTGGTTTATACTTATAAGCATTATTAATTTGATGGTTTCTTATATTTTCAATGGGGTCTGGAAAGTGGACCATGCCGTGAAATATTGTATATTAGGTGCACGCGTATAATGCGTGCGCTGTTTTGTGCCTTTTGTATGTCAATCCATTGTAATTGAAGCTAGCATGTACTGTATGTAAAGTTATTACTTGGTAATGGATAGGTGTGATTTGATGATGAATATTTATCACAGGATCGGATTTAACCATGCCGCGATTTTGCAAATTAGGCATTGGCGATAAGACCTACACAGTCGCTTGTGATTTTGTGTTGTGTAATTTTCCTGTATCTCATCTAATTTTCCTGTAAATGGTTTTCTTATATCTTCACAGGGTCTGGAAAGTAGACCATGCCGTGCAATATTGCAAACTGGGTTCCCTATAGTATTTAAGTATATGTACTTATGTAGGATGATGTTAGTTAGATGATGTACATACTCACAGCCAGGGTCTTGAAAGCAAACCATGCCGTGAAATATGTGAAACATACGGTTTGTGTCATGTATAGCTAGCAGTGGCGTAGTTAGACCTTAATTTTTGGTGGGCGAAGCGAACGCCGAAGGCGTGAGACCGTCTAGGGGGGTTTGGGGGCATGATCCCCCGGAAAATGTTTGAAATCTAGAGTCCCTGAAATGCGATTTCAAGCATTTTGGGGGTGAAATCTTGCAGAATTTCGAAGATTATAAAGTACATCGAAGACATAATTTTCCCAGACATTTCTACTCGGAATTAAATTGGAAAAGTCACCTTGAAAAACAGGACGAGGGGTCAGTGTCACCTTAGTTCTCCTCTGTGATGCTGGGGGGGGGGGATGTGATTTTGATCAGAAGAGACACCACTTCCGCATTCTATGACATTCAGTCCCTCCCGCCCCCTGTTCAACGTTGTGTCCCATTTCTCGTCAGGTTTGATGTGTTTTGGTTGAAGCAACATTGATTGGGGTGGGGTGGGGTGGGGGTGGGTGAGGGGAGTGGTATTATGTGTAAAATATTGTAATGATCCACTTACAATTTAAAACTACATGTGTCCCAACAACTTCTGAAAGTGATTGTCTGGGCCCCATATGCCATGACATCATTGTATATCTCAAAAGTACAGGGGATAGAATGCTCTGCGAACGAAGTATTTCAGCTCCATATCGTTCACAGAAGATCTAATATAACATTTTAAAACAATTAAGTTTCATTAAAATTCTCAAAGTTAATAATTAACAGAATATGAATATAATTTTTTATGTCATATAGCATTCTTAATCGTTGTTTGTGTTTACAAATTTCGGCAGAGCACAATTGGTTATTTGAGAGGTTATAATCCGTCAATAAAGATAGGTATCGCGAATGTTTTACGCTAGATATGTCACACTTACTGTGGTGTATGACCCATGACGCTTTGGGGTCATCACCACGACAGTTGTTTTGGACATGATATTAAAAACACAATCAATATCGAAGAACACTACATTGGCGACGAGGATTATAAACAATTGATTAAGGGTTCAGTTTCAATTGATTATGAAACACGCGACGATTGGACTGCATATATAGAAAGAGTTGAACAGTATTTCTAGAAAGAGTTGAACAGTATTTTGCGAACAATGTAGCCGATGATAAAAGAGTTCCAGTATTGTTGATAGTAATCGGAGGTAAGACGTATAGTTTATTGCGAACACTGACTTCTCCTGATAAACCTTCGACAAAATCATTTGATCAAATAGTGGCAAGGGACATTTGTCGCCCAAACCCTTACTGATCGCAGAACGATTTAGATTTCATAAGCAGGATCAAAGAGAAGATGAAAATATTAATACTTATGTGGCTGAAATAAGAAGTTATCCGAACACTGTGAGTTTGGTACAGCGTTAAATGACTCGTTAAGGGACAGATTTGTTTTGGACTATACAATGAATCTATTTAGAAACGCTTACTTGTCGAAACCAGCCTTACGTTCGAGAAAGCGCTAAAACTTGCGGTTGCCATGGAAACGGCCATGAAAGATTCACTTGAGTTGAGGGGGAAAGCCAAGACAATACTTCCTGTGAACAGAAGCTAAATTTGTATGTGGTCGAAACAAAGGGGCCTGCCCTTTTTGGTCGAGACTGGCTAGGAAAGATCACACTAGATTGGAAAGCAATCAACACATTGGCAACCACACCACCAGGAAATCCATCAACCCGATTACAAGAGATCCTCGAAAAGTATGGTGATGTTTTCGAAGACGATATTGGTCTGCTAAAGACTACCAAAGCAAAGCTGAACCTGAAAGAAAACAGCCAGCCAAAGTTCTGCAAAGCAAGACAAGTACCATATGCTCTGCGACCAAAAGTTGAGGTTGAGTTGACCAAGTTGCAGAATGATGGCATCTTGACCAAAGTTGATTGGAGTGAACGGGCAACCCCGGTTGTTCCAGTGATAAAGAAGAATGGCAATGTTCGATTGTGTGGTGATTTCAAGCAAACCATCAATCCAGTCTTGCACGTTAATTCATTGGTTCATTGGTATGAAACCAGGGTGGCCTTTCCTTCTCTCTCCTTTTTCTCTCTACGTTTCGTATCCCTTCTCTTGCTATTTCACCCCCTTTTTTAGTTCCTATAATCATCTTGCCATAATCTATCACGTATATGCAGTCTATACTATTGAAGTTGGAGTAAATAACAATAAATTTGAATACTGGTCCTCCAATTATTTAGGTTACACAATGTCTCACACCAGTACTTGTCCCATTACCTATTTACACCAAAACAATACCCTCTCCCAAGGATTGATGCTATTTTCGCCTCCCTCGGCGGTGGGCAAAAGTTCAGCAAGATTGATCTGCGACAGGCGTATTTACAGATGGAAATGGAAGAAGAGTCAAAGAAATTCCTAACAATTAATACCCATAAAGGATTATTCCAATACAATTGGCTTGTATTTAGTGTAGCATCTGCCCCCGCAATGTGGCAACAAGCTATTGAACAGAAGCTATTGGAAAAAGCAAGAAGCTATTGCAACAAGCTATTGGATCAGATATTGGAAGGAATTCCCCATGTGCAATGTATCCTTGATGACATGATCATATCTGGTGCAACCGACCAAGAGCATCTTGACAACCTAGAAGAAGTTCTCAGTCGACTTAGTGAACATGGTCTCAGAGCCAACAGCAGTAAGTGCGAATTCTTCAAAGAAAGAATCGAGTTCTGTGGTCACGAGATCAGCAAGCTGGGTCTGCACAAGTCCCAACAGAAAGTGAATGCTGTGATAAATGCACCACGTCCTGAGAATGTTTCCCAAGTTCGTTCCTTTGTTGGTCTTATTAATTATTACCACGATTTCCTTCCAAACCTTTCTACCTTACTTCAACCACTAAACCAGTTGCTCGAAAAAGAGAGACGGTGGAAATGGACCTTGGAATGTGAGCAAGCTTTTCTGAAAGCAAAGGAGTTAATTGCATCCGAGGAAGTCCTTGCACATTATGACCCTCAACGCCCAATCAAGTTAGAATGCGATGCATCTCCGTATGGGTTGGGGCCAGCTTTAACACAAGTCATGGGTGATAATACTGAATGACCAATAGCTTATGCTTCAAGGTCCCTTACAAAAACTGAAAAACTATTCTCAGATAGATAAGGAAGCATTGGCTTTAGTATGGGGTGTGAAGAAATTCCATACTTACATATTTGCACGACATTTCACCCTGCGAACAGATCATAAACCATTGACAGCAATTTTCAGTCCAACCAAGGCTATACCAGCAACGACTGCTGCTCGAGTCCAACGATATGCACTATTCCTTTCAGGGTTTGACTACGAGATTGAACACCGTAGTTCAACACAGCATTGTAATGCAGATGGATTGTCCCGTTTACCTCTAGCAACAACTGAAGATGAAGAAAATCAGTCTGTTGACCCGGTTGAGGCATTTCATGTGTCACAGTTCAGCATGTTTCCTGTAACTTGGCAGCAAGTACGCAAAGCAACCCAACGAGATTCTACCCTCGCCCAAGTGTATGAGCATGTCATGAAAGGCTGGCATGAAAATAAAGACACCAACCTGCAACCCTTTTATTCTCGAAGAAACGAACTAACTATGCACCAAGGATGTATTACGTGGGGGAGCAGAGTTGTCATTCCCACAAAGTTACGAAGCGAAGTACTACAAGTATTACACGAAAGTCATGTTTGTGTGGTTAGAATGAAAGCTCTGGCTAGAAGTTACGTTTGGTGGCCAGGAATTGATTTGGAGATTGAAAGGATGCAGTGGTTGCCAGCGGGTTCAACATGCCCCCAAATGCTCACCATTACACCCATGCGAGTGGCCATCTACCCCCTGGCAACGTATTCATGTCGATTTTGCAAGACCATTCCTTGCAATGATATTTTTAGTGATTGTTGACGTTCATTCAAAATGGCGAGAGGTAATAATCATGCACTCGAAAACAACCACCTCCAAAACTGTCGAAGCCCTGCAAACAGTGTTTGCTCGAAATGGGTTACCAAAACTATTGGTTAGCGATAATGGCCCTCAATTCACTGCAGAAGAATTCCAGCTATTTCTAAAGAAAAACGGAGTTAAACACGTAACTTCAGCACCATATCATCCAGCCACCAACGGCTTAGCAGAAAGATTCATTCAAACCATGAAACAATCTTTGACTTCAATGAAGGAAGACCTTGGCTCCACGTAGACCAAACTATCCAAATTCTTAATGAAATATAGAAACACACCACACAGCACGACTGGTGAAACACCAGCAACTCTCTTCATGGGACGAAATTTACGCACACGGTTAGACTTGATCAAACTGGATATTCGAAAGCATGTTAAAGAGAAACAAGTCAGCCAAGCCAAACCCAAAGGTGATATTGCTGGTAATGCAGTTAGTGTCAGAAATTACAGAGAGAAGGAAAAGTGGATTCAAGGAATTGTGCGTGCTCGAACCGGACCAGTGTCATACCAGGTCGAGATTGCACCAAATGTTATCTGGAGGAGACACATCGATCAATTACTTGCCTCGGAGAACATAAACGACCAGGGCTTTTTTTAACATACAAGCTGGGGGGCATTTGCCCCCCCAGTCTCCCCTTGTGCCCCCCCCACGAAATCACATTTTGCCCCCCCAGGAAAAGTCCCTTTTTCCTAAAATTATACAAACAATCCAGCGAAGATTAACAAATAGATAAACGGAAAGTAAGTTTTAGGCTTTATCCTTTATTCTTGTTTAACAAAATCGATTTAAATTGTTACTTTTTTACCACTAAGCCATGATAAATTATTGTTAATATTTTTTTTTATTTTTTGGATGCTCAGGATGCAGAAAATAGCATTTCACGGTTTCAAATCTCAAACATTTTCTTGGGATTATCCCTCTAATAAGTAATGATAAATTACAGTTAATATTCTTTTTTACTTTTTGTGTATTTTTCCATCTTTTATATCAAATACAACTATAGTTAGCATAAATTTTAGAGCATATTTGGATGCTCAGAATGCAGGAAATGGCATTTCCGTGGTTCAAATTTCAAAAATTTTCTGGGGAGTACACCCCCACACACCTGACCATGGCTATCCTCCTCTAATAAGTAATGATAAATGATGGTTAATTTTTTTTTACTTTTTGTGCGTTTCTTCCTTTATTTATTTCAAATACAAGTATAGTTAGGATAAATTTTGGAGCAAATTTGGATGCTCAGAACGCAGGAAATGACATTTCCGGGAGTCAAATTTCAAAAATTTTCTGGGGAGTATACTCCCAGACCCCCATTCATGCGTGGTATATTTCCACACACGTGGCTTTCAGCCATTGCTATCCCCCTCTAATATATTATCTCACATAAAGGTCCCTTTTCAAAAAATGCCCCCCCACGGGAAAATCCTTAAAAAAGGCCCTGTAAACGACACTCAAGATCTCGAACCAGGTACAGATATTCCAGGTTTGGCCAATGAAAATAATACTGAAGACGAAACAGCCGTGGACATACAAGACCAACAGGAGACTTTAAACAGGTGAAAGTGCAAAGAAATGATTATAGACTTCAGAAAAACGAAAACAGAAATTCCTGAACTACAAGCGGAACAGTCTCCAATAAGTCGTGTCAGCTCCTACAAAATACTGGGTGTGTGGATCGATAATAATCTGAAATGGGAGACTAACACTTGGGCTTTGATTAAAAATTGCCGGAAAAGACTGTACTTTTTGAAAATCTCAAAGAATTACGGTGCCCTCACAAAGGACCTGTTGGCATTTTATAATTCAATAATCAGGCCGGTTTTAGAATATGGTGATCATAGACGGATTTTGTGGGGGGGGGGGCAAAATGTCCACCCCTCCAAAAAAATTTTTAACCCCCCCCCCCCCAAATATTCGGCATAATAAAAAATAATTAAATAGTCCACTCCAACATGCAGAGTGTTGTTGATACAAAATAAACGTAGGAGTACACTCGAACAGAAAAAGACTTGCTTTATTGGAGCAATTGTAAAGTTTTGAAACTCTATTATCTCCCCTGAATAGAGTTTGCAGTGCCTTGTCATGCAAATAGCTTGCTTGCAAGGAACGTTTGGAATTTTTACGAACATTATTTTTAGTTTTTAATTCTTTTAGGAAATAGACTTGCCTATAGATTTAATCTTTACGCCCCAAATATTATTTACATCGGAGTTGCATCATAAATTGTACTCGGATTCAAACGACACAAGCCTATTGGGTTTACACTTTTACAGGTTCATTTAACTTCAACTCTCTCAAGTCTCAACAGACAATCGGACATGCCAACTCCATTGATATGACAACTTCAAAAACCGTTTTTTCGAAGCTAGAAATCATGATTTTTTTTCAAATTTTTCCAGGGATACTTTGTTTTCTGCTCTCTAGACTCCCCGTCACGGCTCTAGTGCTCCACCCCTAGAATATAGACCTTACTGGGGTTTGGTGACACTTTGTGTTGCTTCAGTCACCTGCTCACGGCTCACCCCCCCCCTAAAATTTCTGGCACCAATCCGTCTATGATGGTGATGTTTAGTATGGCCTGGGGGTCTAACTGCTAAACAACGATGCAATATCGAAAGGATTCAAAAACAAGCATTTCGTATAATATATCCAGGACAAGATTACGAACAGGTATTGAAAGCGAACAAGTTGACAACATTGGAACAACGAAGAAAAGACCACTGTTTCAAGTTAATATCAGATATGACTGAAGAAGATCATTAGCTTAATCATTTGCTTCCTTCCAAAAAGATCTGAGGTAACGGAAAGAAACACTAGAGGGAACAAAAATTGTTTATAAAATAGCCCGCTTTTACATGCTATTAACATTTTTAATACTATGAACAACAATTAGGATAGTAAATATAATATAGTTGTAAACTACATAGTAATTTAACTTATGTTATTGTATGTACTGTAGTTATAATTCCAGTAATAATAATAATATAGTTGTGTTAATTGCACTTTTTCATTTGTTTGGCCCTCACATATTAAATTATGAATATTCAAATTAAATTTAATATGAATATTATCTTTCAAGTTTAGTATGCAAAAGGTTTATTAAAGAAATAGTCACAGATGAGACATTTATAGTCTAGACATGTTGTGTACTATTATATAAACAAGATTTTTCTTAAAATGAAACACTCCATCTGACAGTTCTTTACTCATGACCATGTTTTTGGAAAATAGATATATGCTGAGTTTGGTGGATAATCCAAGTAAGCATATATATATTTATAGTTCCCAGAAAATAGTTCCCCAAGAAAGAAAAAAGGATAATTAATGTAAAAATTAATAGATAAAAGGAAAAATTCTAACTAATAGAAAAAAAGTCACCTGGCTGTAGGTATGACCTTAGAAATGCAATAATTATCCATCTTAATAGTGTAAGACTATAGAATAATGTAACAAATGTTCTATGGCAATAAGCATCTCTATTCACCTTAGGATCAGACCCTTGATGCATGTTATCTAAATTAGTTTTATGTTAATTAATATTTTTCTGTTAATTTAAAATATAACATGACATTCAGTTTGATAACATCACATAGTTACAGTGTCCGAGTGTCAATTTACTTTATTATTTGCAGAAATGTGCAATGTTCTCTTGCGGTCCCAGAAAGTAAAATATTTTTCCACCCCCTGGTTAGCACTTCACTTGGGTGAACTAGAATGCTGGGTTTGCTAGATAATCCAAGTGAGCATATATATACACATCCTGACCTGACCAGGAACAGTTGCAAAAATGCAACTCTACAGTAGGTCCTCTGTCTTGGATAATCCACCAAAGCAAGCATAAATTCTAGTTCAACCAAGTGAACTGACTGAAGTGCTAACAACATCTTTCAAGTTCACCTTATCACAACCCGCACACCCAAATACATGTAGATAAACTTGCAGTTATATATACATGTCGATAAACTTGCAGTTACAGCTCGGCGACTAGCTTCGATCTGTACTGTACAGGTGTATGTACCACAGAATACCGCAAAAATTTACATGATCCATATCTTTTGTCTAATGTATATAATATGGTTCCTTAATATTTTTTAGTATAGTCTATCAATATATTTTTTCTTCCTGGGGTTTTGGGGCAAGATTTCATAGACTTAATTATTTTTTTTTAAATGAATATTCTGTGGGAAAAAATCCAATGTACCACAGAATACCAGTGCAGAGATAAGTAAGCAACGGTTTATCAAATTGTACCAGGATTTGGTGTGTCATGTTGTATGATAATACTGTGAGATATTGCTAACTTAATTTAGTGAAAGTTAAACACTAAGATCAGTACAGAATACCAGTGGTATAACCAAAGAATACCAGGTTTATCAATAATTTTGAAAAATTCAGTTTTTCAATGGTAAAATTGATTACACTGTGTGATTCCAGTGTAGTAATGTTGCATTGCATAGAAAAAGTATTGATCAACATAAATTATGCTGGTTTGCGAACTTATTTTTAAACATTCGGATTTTATAGGCATTATGCGAAAAAAAAGGAACAAAAATATAGAATGTTACTTTTTGTTAATCCTTATTATTTTTAAGAATTTTTAAGAAAATATACATTTTTTGTTTTTATATGTCAATTAAGACTAAACTAATATATAATCACGAAAATAAAGTTTATAGCATATTTCCTTCAAATTTTATATAAGAAATAAATAAGACTGGTATTCTGTGGTACATACACCTGTAGCTCAGTTGGTTAGAGTGCTGCACTTGAATCACAGGACCGTAGGTTTAATGACATTAATCCCTGCCAGATCACCTAGTGTTGCATTTTTCGCAGCCGTTCCTGATTAGGTCTTAAATTCTGTATATATAATATATTAAATATGCTCACTAGGATTATCCATCAAATTCAGCATAATCATAGACAAAAAAATACATACAGTTTTGTATGCACATTAACAGAGACTCTTGGTGCCTGTGTATACAAAATATCAACGTGTCCTATGACGGCAGTAAGCACTAAACACAAGTTAAGCTATTTTAGATGATATGCTTACCACCCCTTCAGTCCCCTTCTTCACACAAATCTACCAGCAGTGAGAACAAAGAATTCAAAGCGACATATAATGATATATCCCTTAGTAGTGAGTCGTAGTAACCTAGTAATCCTACAGAGACCAAGTATTAATTGTTAAACTCTCAGTTAAATATCGTTACTTGATGAACCTACATAAACATACGTAAACATTGCCGTAATTACAATTTTAGAAGCATGTTAGTTTTAGAACCATGTTAGTAAGCATGACGTTCAGTGTTCATTGCGAGTAGATCAAGCGTTTTGTAAAATAGACCGGACAACGTACCTTACTTACTTCAGATACAGAAAATATTTGATCCAAGGACTGGATAATACGTATTCTGTAGGTTAAATGATCGTTATTCATATAAATTAAAAATTAAACGAGACTTACCTGGTAAGTTGAAGTTTGATTGGAATTCTACAAGTCATCAGTCAGGAACGGAGGAATTACATGAGAGAGCGCGCGCGAGCTATCTAGGCAATATTCAACGTAATCGTGAGTGTGAACAGGAGCATGGAACGGAGGAATTGGGACGGGAGGGAATCAGCTTGCCTGATCCAGGGCATGTAATTCCTCCGTTCCTGACTGATGACTTGTAGAATTCCAATCAAACTTCAACTTACCAGGTAAGTCTCGTTTAATTTTTAATTCTACTACGTCATCAGTCTACGTCACTACGGAATTACATGAGATTTCAAAGTCCTGTTCACACACACGCCAATGAGTAGATCAGTCAATGGTTTATGAAGTAACTAAACCATGATATCATCTACTAACAAACGAGGCGACATGATCACATCTGCGCAAGGGCAGATACAAAAAAGGGAATCATTTGATTGTGAGGTTGGGCTAACCTCTTCTGTCTACAAGAAATGCTAGTAGTAGTAGACTCCAAATAAATAAATAAAGGTAAAGATAATTTCCTCATGATTCTTTTTAAATTCCCTTAAATTAAATGCATTGCCATCAAGAAGCAATGAACAATTGTTGCCATAAGATTGCAAACCCGTACCCAGGCTGTTCCCTGGTACCGATACGACTCACAATTCCTTTACCATAAGACGGAATTTTTCTTTGTATTAAGCATACAGCCTGCAGTGTATCTCTAGGCTGTCATAAAGCCAAACGTTTCCAATATAAGTGCCATTGGCATCGAGGAGTTGATAACTCAAGGACGAAAGAACTTTTATACTCTTCCTGAATTGAAAACCTGGTTGCAGTATAACTTACACTAATTTTGAAATGAATATTTTTTCTGATGTCACACGACATCTTTGCAAATTATATATAAGGTCATTACAGTATCATCAGACCGTTATGCAATAAACGCTGAACTGACCATTGAAACCTCAGCGTTGACTAATATCACGTAACCAACACAGCAAATATCATGATTATTAGATTACATTGATATCGAAGGAACTAGACTCAGTTCCATACTCGAACCAACCTGACCGCGTAGCTCAATTGGCAGAGCATTGGGCTAGTATTCCAAAGGTTGTAGGTTCGATTCCCACCGTGGCCACACTGTTAATTTTAGGGTGTTAAAATAACACCAAAAAGTGGTGTTAAAAAATTAGGTAAAAAATAACACTACTTTTTGGTGCTATTTTAACACCACTAAAAAGTGTTAAAATAACACTAGATATGGTGCTAAAACAACACCCATTTTTAGTGTTAAATTAGCACTAGTTTTGGGGGTTAATTTAACACCTGTTTATAGTGTTAAACTAACACCACTTTTAAGTGCTAAAGTGACACCAGTTTTAAGAGTTGATTTAACACCTATAGTGTGGCGTTAAAATAACACCTGATTTGGCACTGCCAAAGCAACACCTCTTCCTATCTGGTGCTAAAATAACACCAGATTTAAGGTGTTGATTTAACACTTTCAACCAGGCACATTAAGACACACACAAAAGAGAAATATAGGTTCAAAATTGGTTATTATTATAAATTACTCGCTAACAAGAAATACCTTTAACATGCATGAATTTATATGAACTAAGTATTTATTACGATTAATTTCAGAGTCCAAGCTCACTTAAAAGTTGTTGTACAGAAATTTTGTTCTCGGCATCAGCAGGGCGGTTTAAGGTGACAGCTTCTAAATTCTAGAAATGCATAAACACTCGAAACACCTGGAGTGTATTCCATATTTAGAACATGGAATGTAGCAAAAAGTATGTGGAATATTTTTACCAGCAAAATGCAAGTAAATTTGCCCCACGGCAGCAATGTACAATGGGTCCAAGGATGCAATGTCACCTGATGCCAAGATTCAAGGATAGCTATAGGTTGATTTCCTCACTTCTTCATCAATGGACAATGGGGTCGTCATCCTAAAAGTATTCATTTTCACATTAGTCTATATGGTATATATATTTAGTAATTTTAAATGTTGTCAAGTTCTAATGCAAATGCTGTATTCTAATTGGCTTTACGCTACTCGCTATCTAATTGTCAATGAGATAGCCAGCTAGAGCGCAAACCATCTCTTTGTTGAGACAAATAAGCATTGATCACATGCAATGATAGGATAAGAGATGTGCCATCTCACCTTAACACTACATGTAGCAATTTTAATTACTTCAAAAGGAGTATGCACAGTATATAACAGAGGGTAGCCATTGAGCAAGTGTCCCTTAACTATATAATTAATCACTGTTACAGTTCAATTCCATTTTGCCATTGAAAAATCATGCCAATACATCGCCATTTCAAGAATGAAAAACTACTTCATTATAATGTTACCCCGTGTCAAATGGGTCATTTGTCCAGGACGGATAAGAGATGTGCCATGATCTCACCTTAACACTACATGTAGCAATTAATATTTTTCAAAAGGAGTACAGTATCTAACAGGGAAGCCATCGAGCAAGTGTCACCTAGCTTAACTATATAATTAGTCACTGGTACAGACTGGCCCGTACAGTCCAATTGCATTTTGCCATTGAAAAATCATATCGATACATTGCCATTTTAAGAAAGAAAAATTACTCCCATTATAGTGTTAATTAACTGTGTCAAATGGGTCATTTGTCCTGGATGGATAAGAGATGTGCTATCTCACCTTAACAAGTGCTACATTTAAAATGAGAATCTGTTGCAATAAGAACTTATTAGGTTTAGTCAGGGACGCCGGAACGATACTAAGGCAAAGGGGGGCGGACACACACCAAGGGCTCCTCTATAGAGCAAAACTTCAAAATCTACCGGAAAATTTTTTTTCGAGACCTCGAGAACTTTTTGGGAGACCTCCCCCCCCTCCCCGTCGCCAAAAAATGTCGGTCAGTGTACCATTTCAGGGGTCAAAAATTTTTTCCGGACATACCAAAAGTCAAATATATACTATAAATTGCCTGAATCTCATGATTTTCCTACAAAAAGCATCGTTGGAAATCTGATTTGTCACGTAGTATTTTACAACTAAAAGGGCACTTCTGCCCCCCTGTCCCCCCTAGCAAAAGGCAAGGGGGGCAGCCGCCCCCCAGTTCCGGCGTCCCTGGGTTTAGTGTATCTTTTAACATGGTCGAGAAAGAGAATTATGTTTGGGGATTTTATAATGTGAACATTATATCATAATCAATATTTTCACTCTTAAATATTAATACTCAGGACTCTCCCATTGATAGCCCAATGATAGGTAAAATTATCTCTGTCATTATACCGTAAACCTCCGACTATAAGCCCCCCTCGACTATAAGCCCTCCCCCCGAATATAAGCCCCCCGGAATATAAGCCCACCACATATACTAATGCTCAATTCATTCCAAATATAAGCCCCCCCCCCCGAACATAAGCACACCCAAATATAAGCCCCCCAAATATAAGTCCCCCGAATATAAGCCCAGTAGCCCACTACGTTATTCAACATTTTCATTGTCTTTTAATATAGCAGAGAACGATATTTAAAAACATTGTCATTGTCTTTATAGCCGACTATATGTTATGTTAATCAAAGCACGTTATTAATGGATGTATATTTTCCTGTTTATGTCTGACTTGTTTATGTCTGATTTGTTTATTACTAACACAAAAGATCATCCATGTATTAGCCCCCCGCGTATATAACCCCCCCCCTTGTATAAGCCCCTCAAAAATCGCTTACGAAAGTATATAAGCCCAGGGCTTATAGTCGGAGGTTTACGGGCAAATTAGATAAAAATTGTCTGCGTTAGCCAGAATAAAACAATAAAATAAGGTATATTTGGAACATTGCAGCTTAAATTAATGGTTAAAAATCAAATATAAAATTCGAGTTGGCAAAAATATTCATGAAACACCAGCTCAGGTCCAGCTGTGTAGTGTATACTGTATCTCATCTCACAGACAGTATTAATAAAATAAATTCCATCGTTCAGTAATCAATATAAAACATTACCGTTTCAGTTTGCCATTGAAATTTAATGAATAAAGTATTGTTGGTCTGTGTTGTTGTGCGTAATTTGAATAGAATGCACAAAATCTTGCATTCCTATATGTATATGATAACAGCCATTTCCCGATTTTCCATCTCAGGTTCTAAAATACTTGTCTTTATAATTGAAATGAAAGCAGTAAACGCAAGATAAATCAGACAAAACTACAGTACTTGTAAATCAAAACGCGCGCAAGTTTTCTTAACTGAGACTGCAATGGCAATGAGAGTAGCCTCAGCATAATGGCGGTCGTAATGTATAAATACGACAATCGCAGACAACAATAATTATAATTCTCGCATTATTATAATAACTCACCTTATTCCTTTCGACGTTTATCACATCTTTGAAGTTACAGGCGAACTAATTCTAAAGCATTGACGCTGTGAACCACACGTTTTGAATTGCATTGGCGGCCAGACCTTTGTCATTCAAATACAAACAGCAACCTTGCTCGCTTCTTCCTCACACTGTTTTAAAGCCATCTTTATGCTTGAAATATGAATATACTAAAGCCATTTTAGTCAGTTTGTATCGCTTCCATCGCACTGACACTTAGAAGCAATCCTAATAGAACCCTCGCACCACAATAGCAGATATATTCCCATACAAACGACCACAAACTATATAAATGCCAGTATTGATGTGAGAAGAAGGTATTAGATTTCACGTCGGCGCTATCCTCATTGGTTGAAAGCTCGATCATGCGGCGCGCGAATATTCAAATATTTCGGCTTCATTGTGTGTTATCTTCATATTGTGTTGCTACTGCTGCAAATTATAGCATGTTATAATATTTGAAATGCGATATTTTGAGGTCCAATTTTGCCAGTTTCCAATCTGTATGATGAAATGCATAAACATACATGACACATGCATGTGACATGGGAACTATTTCTGTTAATTTATTATTTATAATTTATGTCTAAAAGTATTAACTTCTGAATTCAAATGTTTCATTTGTGAAATGGTTTATAATTTGCCAGTAAATTAATATGCGGCTGTTTCATGCTAACAGTAAATAATATTCGGATAAATATTTGCCAATTAATTAATTTGGCGAAATACCTGTAATGGTCTGTAATCGGCCAGCCCTAGCCTGTGACGGTAGACCAGGCTCAAAACGTGTGTTTATAGACCGTGTTATACTGTAAAAATGTTTTAGTTTAAGAATATATGTTATTCTAACTGCACAAGCAGTTTTAACACCACCAAAAAGGTGCTATTTTAACACCCGTGCTCAGTGCTAATTTAACACCACCAAAAAGGTGCTATTTTAACACTCGTGCTGCGTGCTAATATATGTTATTCTAACTGCACAAACAGTTTTTAACACCACCAAAAAGGTGCTATTTTAACACCCCAGTGCTAATTTAACACTTTTAACACTCGTGTTGCGTGCTAATTTAACACCACCAAAAAGGTGTTATTACTTATGGTGTTATTTTAACACCAAGAATTTAGCACCAGAAACCGGTGTTATTTTAACACCACCTGTCCTTAAGTGGGTGTTATTTTACCACCTCTAAAGTGGTGTTAAACAATTTGAGTGTTAAATTAACACTTTGCAAAATATTTTTATTTATGTCGTGTTAAATTAGCACCGAAAAAGGGTGCTAAAATAACACCTTTGTTTAACACCACTAGTTGGTGTTAATCTAACACCACCCGAGGTGTTATTTTAACACCCTGAAATTAACAGTGTGTACTCGCCATGAACAAAATTTGTTTTTCTAACTGCCAATAGCAATAGTGCATCAGTTTAAATCCGCGCGAATGCTGCGTTTGACTTCGAATTATAATTTATTCTAAAATGATATGAATAAATTACCATAAATTACCTGATCGGCGATTGCTCGGCGATCGTGTTTTACCGACATGTCGGCTGGATAGATTTTTAGAATTTCAAAATGGACGACTTAAAATCAGCTGCGTCTACGTTGAAAGGTAAATATAACTATTTAATATTTGGTATTTGGCATTTATTTTCTAAGTTTTACGTTTAAATTCTATAAAAAATTATTCTATAAAAAATTTAAATTCTTCTAAAAATTATATAATTTAACCAAACGCGTGCTATTTTAGAACCAAAATTGATTGGCTAATGCCTGGCGTGCTTAAAGCAGACAAAATCGTAGAAGGAGTGGCAAAGGTTTACCATGAAGGCGATAAGGGTCGGAAACTGCCTAAGCATCGGTGGCCAATTCTAAGCTCCAGAGTGACGTATGGCCCGGGAACGAACTTGAGCAAAGTAATGAAGAGGCAGAGTGACGAAGAAGTTCGCTTGCCTTTTCTTATTTAGTTGTTTCATAATTCATATTAGCTGATCAGCTGAGTAATAAGACAATTCTCAACTGTGACAAGTGACACTGAAGTGACAACTGGAAATTGACGTTTCACGTTTGTAAATTGGCGCTGTGTTTGTATTTAAACTAATAAAAGTCTTATCTGGTTGTATTTGTAATTGTGTAAATTAGTTGGTGTACTCGGCCAAACTGGCCAACTAAAGTGCGGCAACGGAACTGATCAGGGTTGTATTGCGGTAACTCGGCAAACTGTCGGTCCAGACCTGCGGGAGATCTCCTGCGGCAATTGGGACCAACTTTCCACTATGGGTTAAAGGCAGTTTAGTTTTATAAAGAACACTTTAAAACGTTTTGTGAATTGTTTGTGGTTGAATTTTACCTTATAAATTGAAGCTTGTATTACGTATAATTACATAGCTAACATATATATGTTGGGGAATTGATAATTTTGTAATTAAAAGTGATATTTTTAGGCGATTTTCATTTGTAAGAATATTCTTAAAAAATTATCGTGTTACCATGACAACTACTTTAGATACTTCATGTTCGGAAAATACAATGATTTTGTCAGCAAGGCGTGAGGGTTTCTGCATGCATGTATTTTCTAGTTTATGTTTATATGTTAGTTCTTCAGAAAAGCGCAAGAAATGATATTATGTCATTAACATATCAATTTATTACTCATCTAGAGAGTAAATTTACGGATACCAAAGTTGTTGTATTCACCGAAGGATAAAATTAACACAGCCGGGCCGTGCGCGAAATTAGACAGTTCAACTTTGCGCGAGTTATTTATCGCGGTTTCGCAATGTGGGAATAAGTTGACCGCATGAAATTACTTTTGAATACATTCTCCAGAATTGTCATCCATCAAATTTTTAAGTTTTTTTATTATAAAGGTAACAAAATAAGGTTTTAACTAAACGAGCTTTGCGATCTATACCACCGCTGACCAGCCCCTTTGTCAGAAAAAAACAGTGATCTTTCAGAAGCTACCATGGACAAACGGAACGGAATAATATCTTCATTTTCCATCACGAACTAAGGAATATGACAAGTAAAAATGGTCTTTAAAAAAAATTGAATATGCATCGGTGGTTAAGCGGCCAAAACAGTTTGTTTACAAACTAGTCGTTCCAGCTCCAGATTGAAATTGTATCTGGAGCTGGCTCCAGATTCGCCAATCTGGAGCTGTCTGGCTCGTCATTTGCTAGTGCGTTCCTTTGACACTTTGCTGGTGTGTTCCCGGGTATAAATAGCCGGGCGGAATTAGTACCGTCGCACGGCGCTTCGCGCCGTTGCAAATTTGGAATCCGTAGACAGTCGGTAGCATCTTTAATGGTCGGTAGCATCATTTCTTCATTCGGCGGTAGTCGTCATCAGGCGACAATTACCGACGAATAGTTCCGAGGCCGAGTTTGTGTCGACATTTTTTTGCATTTAATTTAACGCGCGACAGTTTGCATTAACATATGCGCTATCACAGTTCTAAACAGTGTTATATTATGGCGTTCCATCGCCGCCAAAAATCAATGTTACTAATCAACAACCAACGTTGCTACTCGACAATCAATATTGGGCAACAACATTCAAATCCACTCTTCAACTTTCAACAGCACACTTTCCTACTATTGTAATTTCAGAACTCAACATCTAACTTTAAAGCACGCAACAATGAATATCGAAAAACGTCAACAACGACAAATTTTTGTTCTTTGAAATGATGAACGTTGATGCTTGCAATGTTCATGTTTGCAATATTGATGTTTGAAATGTTGATGTTTGTAAAATGTTGATGTTTGTAAAATGTTGATGCGTGTACAATGTTGATGCTTGTAAAATGTTGATGCTTGCAATGTTGATGCTTGCAATGTTGATACTTGGCCAACGCGTACTAAAGCCGCCAAAAAGAATCGGGTTTCAAAATAGCGGAGTTGACTATCACTACAGACGTAAAGTAGTATCATCTTTTTATTTTTTTATTGACTAGCTTTGTCATAAATGACTGGTGATCCCTACAGGGCTTATTGCCCCATTCACAGGGTCCCTTAAACTAAACATTTACTTCAATTACAACACATTTTATCTTTTGTGGATATGATTTCGACTTGCGATTTTATATATTTAAGTTCCGTATTCGTATTGTTTTTGAACGAGACGAGGTCGTCGTATTGATCGCTTACAAACTGTATAGACTTTTCTTGGTCCTTCGCAACATGGCCGCCTTCAATCTGGTCGGTTTTATCGTTTATCTTCCGACATTTCTTCAGTGATTTTATCTAACTTCTTCTGTAATTCCCTAATATCACTTCGTAACTCTCCATTTTCTTTCCTTAGCTGTTTTGTAGCAGCCATTGAGATAAACAAGCAATTTTAACGGAGCGTAAAAATACACGTCCGTAATGCTTCACTGCTATATTCCCAATGTAGTAATTTGTAATGTTGTTTTCAAACATTTTGGGATGATAGCTTGGCTCCCAACGTCACAGGGGACGCCGGGGGACCAATGGCTATTGTTATACACTGTATTGTGTGAGTTACCCCAATTGGGTTGTTTTTTACTGTATTCGGTCAACTGGTAAGCTGTTTTTATTTAGCAGAAACTGCAGCAAGTCTTCTTTGCACAGTTCGCTTTCCTACACCCAAAACGCCGCTCATTTCCCCTGTAGTAAATCCCTGATCTGCTAAAAACGCCAACTGCTCTCTAGAAATATTAATTTTTGGCCTTCCGCAACCTTGTGTGTAAGTCAATGGAGCATGATACTGAACATCTGGACTGTAGTTTATACGTTCTAATTGCTGGTGGGTATGTCTAACGTAACACGCATCCTGCTTATATAGTCCAGCCTTAGTTTAAGCAAATCAATATCGCTTGGATTTCTCAAACGCTCTATTGCATCTGCTATTTCTTTTATATAGATGATACTACTGTACACGTCTGTAGTGATAGTCAACTCCGCTATTTTGAAACCCGATACTTTTTGGCGGCTTTAGTACGCGTTGGCCAAGCATCAACATTGCAAGCATCAACATTGCAAGCATCAACATTTTACAAACATCAACATTTTACAAGCATCAACATTTTACAAGCATCAACATTTTACAAGCATCAACATTGTACACGCATCAACATTTTACAAACATCAACATTTTACAAACATCAACATTTCAAACATCAATATTGCAAATATGAGCATTGCAAGCATGAACATTCGTCATTTCAAAGAACAAAAATTTGTCGTTGTTGACGTTTTTCAATATTCATTGTTGCGTGCTTTAAAGTTAGATGTTGAGTTCTGAAATTACAACAGTAGAAAAGTGTGCTGTTGAAAGTTGAAGAGTGGATT